AGAATTTCCATGCGAAAATCCGTCCTGGTTGGCAGCTCAGCCAAAATGAACCAGCATGCCCATTGATAATACGGACCCGTTGGTCAACTACACATAATTTTACAGTGTTTTCCTACAGGTACCCCGGGCTTTTGACGGAATGGCGAACACTCATGTTCAACATCGAGTGACTGAATTTTCATTCTGTGGAGCCGACCGCGATCACCGCGGTCCGCACGTATTTAAATAACAATAGGGGCTTTATAGTCAGTTGCACTGATATGTAAAGTGGGCGGGACACCGCGGTCGTCGGCTTGTAACTAGGGATTGGACAAACTGCGGTGACTTCGGTCAAACCGCAGTTCAACCTTTCTGCAAAGCCCCCTTAGTCCGAGGAATTCAAATTGTTACGTTTCTATGCAATCAGATAAGACAGTGTACCAGATTTTATTCAAACTTAACTTGCAAGTGGCTAATTGAGTTTTTGGTTCAAAGACACAATATATTTAAACATCTCTGTGAACAAAGCCTGCATCACAGGTGCAGGGCTCACCCATAAAAGAACTGGTTGTTGATGCTTTTAAAAGCAAAGTTAATGCATGTAATGTGTCATTCGGAAAACCTGAATTTCTTGTTTTATATTGATTGTCTGACTACATCGTTTTTTGGGGGGGGTCAGTAAATGTCACAATATGTCAGCACATACCAGTTCTCAGTGTGTGGAAAGCAGTGCAGTGGCATACACTGTCCTTACCCAGCAACACCAATTTCAATTTTTTTGCCAGAATATGGACGATGCAGATAGACTGCTGTATGAAACCTTAGGGCATGTGTGTTACTCCATGGTTCTCTTTTTTTCACCTTGAGGAAGGGGTCTGTCAGTCTAGAAAAACAGGTAAAAAAGTATTAGCCTGTTTCCAGAAGATTACATGTGTCATGTTTTTCCCTTTTTGTTTTAGAAAATTCAAGAAAGGGTCAGCTGTATTGAAAACGTGTTTTCCCTCAGTCAGTATGGGTTGGTCAGAAAAGATAACTACAGAATTCAGTACGAATATCCATATGTCCAAAGTATCACTCTGGGCATGGCTGCTTGTCTTCAACTGTATTACATATGTTACTTCACATTATTCAAAGTAACCTAAACCTAGCCAGAACATCTGTATATTGTTGTTTACCTGAAAGAAGGGCGTAAGCACTTAGGCCCTTTTGCCGGGATCAGCATGATCACTGCAAAAAACGTTTCCTAGCAAAAAGGATGGAAGTATGCAACAGCATGTTTCTTACCCCCTTTTGCCGGGAACA